TATTTTTATGTGTTTTCCTTAAGAGTCAATTTGCTTGACTTAACTTTTCGATCCACATCAGCTACAGCTTCTAGGGCATAGAAAGTATTGATATAAAAGGCAAATAACACCCATCCACCATCCCGTAAAATGCCTCAAAGAGCTTGTTTCTCTGGGAATTCTAGACACAGCCTCTAAGTGTATAAAACCCGTCAAAGGCAATCGAGACGAGGAAACGAGATGGCACCCGATATATTAAAATCTGTGCGGCTTAAGGTACAGGGTACCGGAGAGACGAGGGAAGACACCCGGTGCGTTTGCCGCTAGACTCATGCGCCTGCATGCGTCGTTGCTAATTTAAAAAGAAAAACAAAAATTGGCTAGGGAAATGATCCAAGTCATAGAGGGAAATGTACTATTTTTTTCTTTTAAAAGTAACAAAATGAAAATGTCTCCACAATTAAGGAGCCCAGCGATTTGTTCAAACGATTAAAAACCATATGCTTATGTATGTGGAGGGTATATGAGGAGGTCAGAGGACAACTTTCAGGAATCCGTTATCTCCTTTCACCTTTATGTGGGTGCGGGGGATCGAACTGAGGTCGGCAGGCTTGGCAAAAACACTGCTGAGCCATTACACCCACCCTGTACAAATGATGTTTAAAGTGTTAAGTGGATGAAAGTTACTTGAATAAAGTCGAAGGATCTACGTGGAATTTGCACCCATCAAGTCTTTGCCTGGGAGACTCTCCAGGAATTTGCATGAAGGTGGTTCGCACCGCTACATGGGAGAAGGAGGGACCAGAAGGACTCTTTTTCATCAAGCCACTGAGGCATATGTACCTTTGGTGTTTTTGCCTTTCCAGAGGAGGCCTTTTTGAGACATCTGCTTACCCCAAGGCACAAGAGACAATTCAGCACTTTATGACTGATATCAGTAAATTGAAGGGCTCAAAAAGCTTCCATTAGAAGAAGGCATTGCTCTGAGATCTTGAATACCCGTCAGACATGATTCCTTGATAACTGTTGGTCACAGCATCATCAGGTCCTCAGGGTCACTTCGCTATCTATTTGAGAGTATACGCAGAGCCCAGTAGTGCTCACAAAGGGGACAAAACCACAGGACCTGCCACCTACAGCCTAATCGGCTTCTGGCTCTCATATCTACAGCAACTGAAAAAACCCGCAACCTTAACCAGTTGCTTCCCTCTAGTTACTATGATTTGCCGTTTTGGAAGAGCAGTAATTTTTTTTTTTAATTAAAGAAACCTATTTCCTTATGTCCACTAGACTCACTGTATTAGAAAATCCCCATTTTTTTCAAGTGTTATTTTAGTTCTGTAAAATAATTGAAGACACAGGGTATTGCTTGTGTGTGCGTGTCTATAGTTTTTTGTTTTCCTTTAAAAAAATAAACTCCATTTTAGCTTTGAAGCCATGACTTGTTAATGACCATTCTAAGAGCAATTAACAGCATTTTAAGGATGGTGCAAACTCTTCAAATTGCTGAATTTTAAACTGCAGAACTCACAAGTGTGGAAATCTCATTAGTACTTGGGTATAGTAACACTTCGAGTGCAGCCGAAACGTTACATGCTTTGTAGCATTCTCACATCTC